AAAACATAAATAACACAGGGTCACAATTTTGTAAGATAAAAGTTTCAAGTTATTTTAATCAATTGCCATATTTTTTCTTATCAAAAAATGACCCATATGCCTTTTTTAAAAAAAAAAAAAAAAGAAGATATTGGGTATGACTTATGTGCTATAGAAGTATTAGCCATTATTACTGTATTATTATCCCTTCCACCAGATAGAAATTTCTTATTTTGTACTACTGTTTGATGTTATAAAATTCTATTAATATTATTTTGGGAAGACACTCTTTAGTGAAGACATATCAGAAAGGCAAAGTAGTTAAAAAAAAAAAAAAAAAAAGCTTAGCTTACCCAACTTTTAAAATTCATAAAGATCATAAAACTTCTATACAGAGCTGTATTAGTCTGTTCTCAGGCTGCTAATAAAGACATACCTGAGATTGGGTAATTTATAAAGAAAAAGAGGTTTAACGGACTCACAGTTGCACATGGCTGGAGAGGCCTCAAAATCATGGTGGAAGGTGAAGGAGGAGCAAAGGCACATTTACATGGCAGCAGGCAAGATAGTGTGTGCAGGGGAACTGCCCTTTTATAAAACCATCAGATCTCATGGGACTTTTTCACTATCAGGAGAACAGCCCACCCCCATGATTCAATTACCTCCCCCGGGTTCCCTCCCACAACACGTGTAGGAGCTACAATTCAAGATGAGATTTGGGTGGGGACACAGCGAAACCGTATCAAGGGCAAAGTAGCTAATTATCCAACCCACACTTTCTAATGGTAACAATGATAATAATAATATCATTATAAATGTTCACAGTACCTTTCCTGGCTAAAATTCTTTAAAGTAACAGAAACCACTCCGACTTAACCTAAACCCAAAGGAAGAATTTATTATAAGAATATAGTTACGTAATGTGAATCAAAAGAGACTGGAACCAGAAATAGATAGCTGTCCTCTCTCCTTATCACTCATCTGCTTTATGTTTCTCTTGGAAGATGGACTTTACTCTGCTTCTCTGTCTATATACCAAATAAACCTACCTCTCAGCTCCAGAATTATAAATAATAGTTTAAGCTGTGATTTGGTCTCAGCTCCTGACCAAGAGAATCTAATTTTCCTAGATTGAAAAAAGGTGTGCACTGTAGGCTTAAAAACTTGGGCCGAGGTTTTTTAGGAGTTCACTGTGTAATATAAACATGACTGCCTGTGACCCCACCCCCATTAGACGGGCTGGGTGAGGGATGGCATGCTCTCACAAGGGAAATGGTCACCAAATTGGACAGAAATCTCAAAAGTATCAATTACCATGCTTCTTTTCAAAATGATTTCATGTAATAATCTTTTTTCATGAGAGGATTCAGTTCCTATACTATGCCTACTTGGTATCTACTGGTGTCAAGTGTTTGGGGTTTGTTTTAGAGAGGAAGTCTCTCTCTGTTGCCCAATCCAGGCTGCAGTACAGTGGCACAATCGTAGCTAACTGGAGCCTTAGATTCCTGGGCTCAAGCAATCCTCCCACCTCAGCCTCCCTAGTAGCTGGGACTACAGCCACAAGCCACTATACCTGGATTTTTTTTTTTTTTTTTTTTTTTTATGAGATGGAGTCTGACTATGTTGCCCAAGCTAGCCTGGAATTCCTGGCCTCGAGCCATCCCCCATCCTCCTATCTCAGCTTCCCAAGGCGCTGGGATTACAGACATGAGCCACTGTGCCTGGCCGTGATAGTTCTTATTAAAAGGCTAAGATGTTTCAAATGCTAACAAATACGTAAGTAATTTCTGCTGACTTTCATCCTTTCATCACTGGCAATAAAGTACATCCCAGAATATTAAGCTTAGATAATGCTAGTGAAACTTTGATAAAAGAATGCCTTCTGAATACAAAGCCATGTAGAACTTCTTAAAAACCTAACCAAAGAAGCATAAAAACACAACAACTAAAGACCACTTTTGTTAATAAATGAAAAGCTCAAATAGTCATACCTCATAATTTAGCCAAGGATAACTGAACCTATGAAATGTCAGAGTTTTACCATATTGCATTGTTTTCTTTTTTTTTAATTACTGATCAGATTAGTTTGTCTTCTGCCAGTGAAAAATCTGAAAGAAATCTGAATAATCAATGCAATATTCAGTTCCAAAATCTATTTATGGAAATCTATTAGGGCAATTCATTAATGTCCAGAAATACATTTTTCCCACCATCTATCATTTTCAGAACAAATTCTGAAGATCAAGGTTCCTGGTCAATGAAAAGCAGGTGTCTAGAGAAAATAAGACAGAATTCTAGACCCCGCAAAGTTAAAAGACCGACTGCTTGGCATTCTGAAGACTGGTTATATCAGCCTGCAAACATCCTCTCATTATTTTAATTTCATACTCTATAAAATACTTTTGGATCCTTTGCCAGCAAGATAAAAACAAATTAAACAAAAGGGCCAATATGCACAAAATATCTTATTCTGGAAGCACCACTGCTGACAGCTTCTGAAAAAATAAAATAAACTGGATCCTTCAAAAAAACTTTCCAAATAGCAGACAGTATTACCAAGAAAGAGTCAAAAACTAAAAACGACATAACAGTCAGCAAATACAGGAGTGTGGCTCTCCTCATGGCTCTTATAATTCTTTTCTCACAACATTCTTACAGTTTCTGTCACGTTCTGTAAGTATATAGTTATTTGTCCATTACATTGCAAGCTGAAACTCAGAGTAAGCTTGACCTGGAGCTCTAATCAGTAGAAATCACACACACAGAGAGACACACATACACACACTCTCTCTCTCTCTTTCTCTTTTGGCCCTACATCAAAATACTAGGATATAAATGTACCGAAATCATTTAAGTTAAAACAAAATGTTTCTCTCTCTATCTCCCCACCCTCCACCAATATACATGTAATTTTTACGAGTTCAATAAAATGGTTTTTTTGCCTGTGCTTACATTACATAGTTGCAGGGAACATAAGAAATGGCTTATAAAGTAGGAGAACTAATGTAACCAATGCTATGGGAAACAGGATAAAGAAGGATATAGAGAAGGGACTACTTGAGCTGAGCAGACAGACAGTCCTGGGTAAAGGCACTGAAGATACAAGAACAATGTGGACAAACGCCCATAGGCCCAAGTAGAATGGCTTATTGAGGGAACATCAACAGAACAAGGAGTTCCAACAGAGAACAGCAGCAACAGAGACCAAGGAAATAGGTAAAGTCTGGGTCCTCAAAGGCTTATAACGCAGCACATAGAAGGTAAACTGAGAGAAAATGGAGCAAACAAGACTCTAAGCAGCAAAATATAATAACTGGACAAGCATCTTCAAAGGTCATTGTAGCAGTGGCAGTAGGGTGATTTGGGGGTATGAAGAATGACAGACTTAAAGAAAGTAACTTCCAAAGTCCAAGCAAGAAATGAGAGAGCCTAGGACTAAGTGAGAAGAGACAAAAATGAAAACATGATGAAGGCAGAATCAACAAGACTTACCCACCACGTCCTTAGCTATATGAGTCTAGCGAAGAGAAGGAATACAGAGTAACTGATGTGTTGCTTTACTGGCTCTGTAGCTCACCAATTATTTTCCCAGTTAACTTTAAAGGAGAAAAAGCAAGATTGGCAGAAGAAGAAGTCAATTCAGATTATTTTGAGTTTAAGGAGCCTGTAGGACAGAAAACAGAAATGCCCAATCATTAGCTGAATATGCATAACTGGATTTGAGGAGAAATGTCTGATCTGAATTGGAGACTGGTGACCTAATCCTTTATATTTGAAGCCGTGGGAGTGGATGTTATTAATGAGAAAGACCAGGGAAGGGCAACCAAAAAAAAGTCAAGGGCAGAACCCAGAATCACACCCACTTTTCAGAAACAGTCAGACAGGAGAACAACAAGAGGATACTAACAAAGAAAGGTCTGCAAGATGGAAGCAAGTTTAGGCCAGTGGGACTTCAGAAGCTGCAAGGTCAGAAGGGTTTGTGAACCCAAAAGTATCTGAGACAGGTCTCAATTTAGAAAGTGTATTTTCCCAAGCTTAAGAATGCGCCCCTGACATAGCCTCAGGCAGTCCTTACGACATGTGCCTAAAGTAGTCGGGATACAACTTACTCTCACACATTTTAGGGAAGCATAACACATCAATCAATACATGTAAGATCGGTTGGATCTGGAAAGGCAGACAACTAGAAGTGGGTGAGAAGTGGCTTCCAGGTCATAGGTAGATTTAAAGATTTTCTGAATGGCAATTGGTTATTATCCAAAGACCTAGAAACAATAGAAACAAATGTCTGGGTTGCAATAAGAGGTTGTGGATACCAAATAAGATCGTGGAGATGAAGCCTCTAAGTGGCAAATTTCAGAGAGAATCGATTGTAAATGTTTCTTATCAGACTTAAGGTCTGTGTTGATGTTGATGCTGGCTGGCTTTTCCTGAATTCCAAAAGGAAGAAGGGCATAATGAGGCATGTTGGACCCCCCTTCCCATCATGGCCTGAACCAGCTTCTCAGGTTAACCTTGGCAAAGAGGAGGGGTCCATTCAGATGATTTGGAGGATTGGAATTTTATTTTTGGTTTATAGTTTCAAGGAGAAGCAGGACAATCATGTCAGAGAGCTTCAGTGAGGCTGAAAATGCTCCACCAGATTCAGCAGTCTTTAAGCTATCAGAATCCTTTGGCAGGGTAGGGGCTTGGAGGGGTGAGGGTAGAGGGATGGAGAGGAGGGAAAAGGACAGGCAAAGGGGCACAGATATCTCCATCAGGGAGTGAGCATGCCCCACACAAATTCCTTAAGGCAACCTGTGAGGCTATCGCCTTGGCACAAACCCTATCACATGTCAGTCAACTTCCCGGCAAGTCGCAGATCTTTAGAAACCTTGGTGTGCATTTGGGACGCACCCCTGCCTCCACTCCACAAACGTCCATTGAGTCCTCAAAAACCCGGACAAATGACCTCACCTCCAAAGCCCCCTCTCTGATGCTCCCAGGAAAAACGAAAGCACCTCAATTTGTTTTGTCCGTACCTTACACGGCTTTGTAATTATCTGTGGTGCCTCCGGCTCAAATCAAAGCTGGAGCCAGACCCAAAAAGTCAAGGAAGGGAAGCGCCTTCACAGGCCTCGCGTGAGGAGAAAAGAACTACAATTCCCATGAGGCGGTGGGGCCAAGGGACCACACGTCCCAGCATCCACTGCGCGGCCCAGGCCTGCCAGGGTAGTAGGCGCTGCGTGAGGCGGGTAAATGTTCGCGGAAGCGGCGAAGAAGACAGGGCCTTGTGGGATGGCGGAGTTTAAGGAGAAGCCTGAGGCCCCGACTGAGCAGCTGGATATCGCATGCGGCCAGGAAAACTTGCCGGTGGGCGCGTGGCCCCCGGGGGCCGCGCCGGCGCCCTTCCAGGTAGGGGCGGGGCCCGGCGGCGCGGGAGGCAGGCGCGCGGCTACCCCACGTGGTCTCCTTCTCAAGCCGCCTCGCCGGGACGGCCTCCCAATCGAGACCTTTTGTCTTCTCTTATAGCACACCCGGTGGTGCGCGGGAATAGGTATGCATGCCACGGCCTGGGCCTTTTTCTGTTAACCCACGGCATCACCTTAGGAAGGGTGCTGTCCTTTTCAGTCCACTCCCTGAAGCGCAGAACCAGAGGCCTTATGAGAACCCGGCTTTTTGTCCCAGTCCTGTCCTCAGAACTCAAGGAGGCATCAAGGGGGAAGTCATTTACCTCTCCGGTCTCAGGTGTCTCTCACAGGTAGGATAAGCCGTGGGGCCTATTAGTGGATAGCACCCGGTGTCGTGCATAAAAACAGCCCCGCGAGTCAGCCTTAGCTGTGGTCTCCCTCATGCTGTGGGCTCTTGGGCAAGTATAAATTAGCTTTGGCTAAGCCTTAGAGTCTTCCAGTTCTAACAGTACCTCCCTTCCGGATTGCTTTGAAAATTGCAAGGAAAATACACTTTCTGGTTTGCTGTAAGAACTCAGTAAATGTTCGCTGCTATTAACTTCTCAAAGCCCTTTCTACTCTTTTTTTTTTTTTTTTTTTTTTTTGAGACTGAGTTTCGCTCTTGTTGTCCAGGCTGGAGTGCAATGGCATTATCTCTTATCTCGGCTCACCGCAACCTCCACCTCCTGGGTTCAAGCAATTCTCCTGCCTCAGCCTCCCGAGTAGCTGGGATTACAGGCATGTGCCACCACACCCGGCTAATTTTTGTATTTTTAGTAGACACAGGGTTTCTCCATGTTGGTCAGGCCGGTCTCAAACTCCCAACCTCAGGTGATCCGCCCGCCTCGGCCTCCCAGAGTGCTGGGATTACAGGCATGAGCCACCGCTCCCAGCCTCTAGTCTGACTTTCTTATCCCTCTGACCTTGGCCTGAGTGTTACCTAAGGAATAAGGAATGACCGAAGATTTTGAAGTGGAAAGAGCACTGGACGTGGAAGTTGGAGAGCATGGTTCAGAGCTTAGCCATCTTAGCTACTTCCCAGAGCCTGAGTTTATTCATCTGCAAAATGAAAATAATAATTTAAAAATGCATAGCCATCCATTATCAACACTGAACCCTATCTGCCCTTTCTTTTTCCTAGGAATCTTGTGAGGATCAGATAAGATAATAGATTCAATAGCAGCTTTCAAAGATGTCAAGGAAAAGAATCAAACTCTGTAAAATATTTGAAGAGATTTATTCTGAGCCAAATATGAGTGACCATGACCTGTGACACAGCCCTCAGGAGATGCTGAGAACATGTGTCCCAGGTGATTAGGGCACAGCCTGGTTTTATACTCGTTTGGGAGAGAGGAGACGTCAATCAAATACATTTAACATGTACATTGGTTTGGTTCAGAAAGGCAGGGCAACTCAAAGTGGTAGAGGGGCTTCCAGACTATAAGTAGATTTAAAATTTTTCTGGTTAACAATTGGTAGAGTTTATCTGAAGACCTGGGATCAATAGAAATGTTCAGGTTAAGATAAAGGGGTTTCTTTTGAGACGGAGCTTGACTCCATCACCCAGGCTAGAGTGGTGCAATCAGCTCACTGCAACCTCCGCCTCCCAGGTTCAAGCGATTCTCCCGCCTCAGCCTCCCAAGTAGCTGGGATTACAGGCACCCACAGCCACTCCCAGCTAATTTTTGTATTTTTAGTAGAAACAGGGTTTTACCATGTTGCCCAGGCTGGTCTCAAACTCCTGACCTCAAGTGATCCGCCCACCTCGGCCTCCCAAAGTGCTGGGATTACAGAAGTGAGCCACCACACCCGGCCAAGTAGAGACCAAGTTTTATTGTGCGGAGGAAACTCTCAGCCGACTTCAGAGGGAGCAGTTTGGAAAATGTTTCTTATCGAACTTAAAAAGGTGCCTCGCTCTTAGTTATCTCCTGGTTGTGGAAAGAAAGAAAAAGAGGGGGAAAGGGGATTCTCTATAGAATGTGGATTTTTCCCACAAGAGACAACCCTCCAGGGCAATGTCAAGATATGGCAAGGAAATATATTTGGTGTTAAAATATTTTGATTTCTTGCCTTATTTGTTATGTGATGTTATGCCAGAGTCAGGTTAGAAAGCAGGCCATGCTATATAGGGTTAAAATTAAAACTCCTCTGATGAGATTTTGTGGTTTGTGAGGCATGACTCCTCAGGTGCCTTAGGTAGGAATTTGGGCAAGATAAAAAAATCAGAGTTTAGTCCTCAAAAGAGTAGAATAAGATTAATGTCAGAAATTATTATTGTTCCCCAGACTACCTTTGGCAATTTATGTTAATAATACAGTTGGCTGACCCAATATTAAACAGTGGTCCCTGAAAACTTACTCAGGACTAAGCATTGCTGAGTTCCTGGTCAAAAACACTGATTAAAAAAACCACTGTTCTAGTCCATTCTTAATTCAACAAATTGAGAGCTAAATATATGCAACGTGGTGGGTTGGGCTGCAAAGAATACAACAAACAGAAAAAACACATTCTACCCTCAAGGTGTTTACAACTGTTATGATTAGCTTCAGTATTCCTGCTGTGCCTCTGTGTGTGTGTGTGTGTGTGTGTCTATATATGTGTGTATGTGTGTGTGTTTGAGGCTATTCTATTTACAATCTTGGGTCATATTTTTCTTTGCCATATCCAAGAACAATCTGTAAAACTGCCCGACGTATTTTTTAATTAACTCACTTTAAGCATTATTTAAAAATAAGTAATATAAGTATCTCCCTTAGAATCACTGCAGTCATTAATGTCCATAAAATCTTGAGGTTTTATATTTCGCAGAGTATATTAAACACATCTATTTTAAAAGGGCAGAAAGGAGTGACAAGAGGAAGCTTTATGATTGATTGTTATGTCTACAGTTGGTAGGCATAAATGAAAACTGAGAGATTAAAACCCAGTCCCACAGTGTTCTATCTCTGTACATGCACAGTTCTCAATAGAGTTAGAGTTACAAAACTAAGACAGGATCCCCTCCTAAGAGACCTTATTGTCTTTCTTACCAAGAAGATCAAACATGCTTAAAACATTTAAGTGACAAGCCTAAAAGTGCATTCAACTCGTTTTCTTCCATATTTTCATAGAACACAAAACCACTCTTATAAAAGGTCAAAACAGCTTGCTTGCTCCAAACCCTGCCTTCACAGGCATATGCACACATAAGAATTAAGGCATGAAAAACTTTCAAGATAAAAATAACTTTGTGTCTGTTTTGCCTTTGGCTACTGTGTGAAAAGGCAAAAAAATTCAAATGTTCATATTGGAAACAAGCATATCATAATGTCATCAGTGTTGAAAGCCAAGTAGAGAATAAACTAATTCATTTTCTTGAGCTAACAGTTGGATCTAACCATTTTTCAGGTCTCTGAAACCAGCTTCAAACATTATTTTTAAGATCTCAGCAGGCCTTGACAAGAATTATCTGGCTCACAGTCTTCTAATAGCTGCTTGGAGGAAAAACAAACTTACGAGGCTAGAGGCCAAGTACAAAGATTCTTGTAGCTGGGGTTTCAACACAACCAAAAAAGGAATGAAGATTTTCACAGCACTTCTTTATAATTCAGAGGCCCAGGTTTTAAGCCTAGAATATTATAGTGTCATACTTCAGTTTCTGGGTCTTCAGTACAGAATGTGATTCAGAAAAGTCAAACTTCTCGTTAATAAGTATCAAGAGCTGCAATCTGGCAATCGAAAAATGCTTCTTGAGCACCTGCTGTGTGCCTCGTCCTATGGATAGGAACCCCACCCCCATCAGCATGCCACACTCCAAACCTCATAACCATGCTTTTCCCTGAGACACATATCTGTTAGAAAAGTAAGACCTACACATTTAACACAATCAGAGAGCCCTACACTCTGTGTCATTTAGACCCTGAAGTTCATGCTATTAACTAAGCTATTTCAGAGAAGAAAGAAATTATTGCAGACAGGAATAGCCAAGACAAGAGTGTATTTTCTCTTGTTTTCTGTCAGAAAACTTGAAATCTTCACCCAGTGCTTGTTTCCAATATATCATTTTGCCCTGATCATTTTGCATTTATTCCCAGTGCTTGCATGAGTAATTCTGTGCTTTGATACATACGAAGAAAAAGTAAAACGTGCCGGGTGCGGTGGCTCAAGCCTGTAATCCCAGCACTTTGGGAGGCCGAGAAGGGCGGATCACGAGGTCAGGAGACCGAGACCATCCTGGCTAACACAGTGAAACCCCGTCTCTACTAAAAAAAAATACAAAATACTAGCCAGGCGAGGTGGCGGGCACCTGTAGTCCCAGCTACTTGGGAGGCTGAGGCAGGAGAATGGCATAAACCCAGGAGGCGGAGCTTGCAGTGAGCTGAGATCCGGCCACTGCACTCCAGCCTGGGTGACAGAGCGAGACTACGTCTCAACAACAACAACAACAACAACAAAACAATGCAGGAAATTTTTAAAATCCCAGCCAGGCATGGTGGCTCCCTCCCGTAATTCCAACCCTTTTGGAGGCCAAGGCGGGAGAATCACTTGAAGTCAGGAGTTTAAGACCACCCTGGGCAACAAAGTGAGACCCCATCTCTACAGAAACATTGTATTTTAAATTAACCAGACATGGTGGTGCATGCCTGTAGTCCTACCTACTTGGGAGACTGACCTTGAGCCCAGCAGTTGGAGGCTGCAGT